TATGCTCTGCAAACATTTCTCAGTAATTGACATTTGACCTCCAGTAATTTTGCTATAGGTATCAGTAATTGTAGTTGATACATAACAAAAGACAAGAATCAGAATATCATAGCAGGTGTGAACCAGTAAGCAATAAACATTTCATAGATAGTACAATGACAATGAGTAACTTTACCTTACTTTCATTCAACAAATCAAAACAATAGCCAAAGCTTGATAACCATTTATTTTTGCACGGTATCATTAAGCATTGGGTTAAATTTCAAAATGTAATTTCAACTTTGACAGGATTGATCCTGCTTTTAAGACAAAAGCAGCATGTTTATTCTTATTTATAAACAGAGTGATTTCCCAATTTCTAGAACCAACAACAAATCCCTTAAAATCTAAGGCAATTCCAAAGCAAAATATGCTAGTTCTTCAACCTCTATCAATATATCAGCTGGACACAGAAACAGAGATCTTTTTGAACCACTTTTAATTTTGTTTTGTTTTTTCCTTGTACAGGTGGTGACATTGCTTTCCCAGCTAGGGAACCAGTGGAGTCTTTGGTTTGGTTCATCAGTCCTTTCTGTGGTGGAACTGGCAGAGTTGATTTTAGATTTTTTGATCGTCACCTGCATCCTGGTTTTCCGCCGGCTGTACTCATATCAATCTTCAGACCTTTATACACCCAGCAACTCAAATAACTCTGTTTTCCACAACATCATTTCGGCTCACAAAACTCCACAAGAAATACCTGCTGAGACTGGGATTGCTGCATTGCCATCTTATAACACCTTAGAAACATTAGACTTACACAGAGTTTCCTTCAGAACAGAATAAAATCCAGACCAGGATGCTTTGGATATGACATTATGTATTTTAATTAATGCTGACTTATAGACTCAGCACTTGGAACTAACTTGTTAGCTGGATTCTCACACCCAGAGAAGATAGGTCTGAATTTCTAAAAGAATTCTGAAGATACAGATCCAATGACATGAAAGCACCTTTCTGTCTCACTTTGTCCTTGGTGTCTGCAAGTCCTCAAGTCTGTATTTGTCCACCACCAAACAAAATTAAAAAGATGGATGCTGTGTATTTTTTCCCTATGTATTTTGAGAAATAAGTTTCTACAAATTGATCTTGGTTGTTGCTTTCAATTTCTTTTCTTTGAGGCCACTTGCTGATCAAATTAAAGTCAAATGGACAAAGATATCTAATCCCTTTCTTGTAGGTTAAAAACAAACACAAGCTTTTTCCTATCCCTTGAGATAGCTAGAACTCTTTGCTGATTGCAGCTAAGTATCAGCATGAAGATATGTACTGGAAACTGAGAACAGCTAAACAGGATATTAAAGCTTGCTAGGATTAGAACAACCCTTATACATCGATAAACTTCCATACTATGAACAGTAAAAGATCCCTAATTCTGGGTCCATGAACTACCCAGGTACACTTCAATCAGTACTTCTTTAAGAAAGCTATAACAAGGATTTTCATCCACTTCTCTTCCTTTTGAGTAGATCCAAACTTTGAAGACTGTATACTTTATTATGCATTTAATATGGATGTTAAGTCTTACTCCGCTACTCATGAGACTAAATATTCAGCTTCTGTATTGTATCTCTTCAACTTCTTGTGTATCTCCCTGTGAATGACTTCAGTTAAACAAGGACCTAAATTCTTTCTCACTTCCTTTGTTCTCCTGGGGCAGTATATTCTTAGTCTTGGGTTCATTCTTGAAGTGAATGGAAGGCCTTCATATTGTCACTATTTCCCATTCAGCAAATAACAAATATCCCTCCAAGAGCAAAACATGGTTATGTGAACATCAGCGTCCTTTTCTCCCTTTCAATAGTATTGTATAAAAAATCCAAGATGGGGTTAGGTCAGACTTTCTAATTTATATTTTTAGAAAGCACTGTTGTTTTAATATAGGTAACTAGTCTGTATGCCAGAGGTTCTGCAGAAACCCACTTACCTAGTATATAGGATGATAACCATATGTGATATAAAGAAAATATTAATTTATGAAGATTCTACTAGCATTCCATCAATCTAGGTCCACCTTCTGTATTTCATTTCATCAACAAAAAAGGAAAGACATGGATCTTCAGCCCTTCTAAGTTAAGAATTTTACAGAATTAGAACTTTAATCCTTCTCTCCACAAAATATTTGCTATTTGCATATTACAGCCTGTAAAAATGGAAAGTACTTTCAGCTGTGAGGATTTCCATATTGGCAGTGAAGCAAGAATCAACATCAGTGTTTCTCTCCCAGTGTTTCCCTCTGAATTCTTAATTCTTAAAGATTTTTTTCTGAATTCTTAAAGATTTCAATGTTCCACGACTGCATGTGGATAGCCTAAGCTAGTTCTCCCTTCCCCAAAGTGGACACTCTCTGAATGTTTACTGATATATTAGCTTAACCAGATAAAATGATCATAGCTAACATTTGCGACATTTTTTTTGCAAAAAAAAAAAAAGTGGGGGGGTTGTTCTGCATTTTTAGCATTAGGAGTATCAAATTAAAAATAAATTTCCAAAAATGAAAGAGGAAAAATATCCTGATTTTGATTGGAAAGTATAACTGTGACCGAAACCCAGTGTACCAGTGCCTACAAATCCTATAATCATTCAGGTTTCATTTAAAATGCCTTTCCTGTGTACCCTTCTGATATGTCTTTTAAAAAGTATATTATTGTAATTTGTGTTTGCTTTTCGGAATCCACTCCATATCTGTAAGTTAAGTCAGTGGTTCTTACCCTGTGGTGCACGAATTCCTGGTGGGGGGGCTGCGATGTTGTCAAAGCTTGAAGAAATGTTATGATTTAAATCTTGAGTTAAGTCTTGGTGGCCGTGGCCACAAAGGGTATTTAAAGGGGGTCCAATGTGAAGAAAAGGTTGAGAACCACCAAGTTAAACATTTCAGCAATGACATGTCTCTCAGCACTTCTGTACACACTGTATATGTGTACACATACACTGTCAGCAAGTTATAGCTTCCCATTCCATGAGCTACAGTTGGGAATGAAGATGAATTGTTTAATATACAATAGGACGGTTAATTTTTTCCAATACATCCTTATCAAATCCAATATTCTCTCTGCATTTAAATCAGCACATGATGGAGTTTAGAGAAAATATATCTGGCATGCAGAAGATGAAGTAACATAATGAGGATGGGACTTCAGGCAGTGACTGAAGGTAGATACCCTTTAAGTACATTAGAACAATCCTAATCCCGTGTGCCATATTAACAGTGCAAGACAGACAAGTATTGCTCTAATTTCAGTATGCTGTAGTCTATATACTTGCTTTGATAGCAGCTGGGCAGGATCTTAATGCAACATTTCCATATCATCTATACATAACAAAAGCAGTGCCATCTGAGAACTGTGTTTCTTTTGGTCTTATAACTCTGACTTGAACACAAATAATAAAAAGTAGATTATGAATATGAGAGTTGTGCACCCTTGTATGCATAAACTGGACACAAGTTGTTGTCAAACAGCACAAGGCCTATCGTGACAACAGCGTGCTTGTCCCTTTCATCACTACTTTCTCGTGCAAGGTCAGCAAGTTCATGAATTCTTTTTACAGATGCGAGACCATCATACAACTCTTTTGCACAGTAGCTTTGTGTTTAAACAGAAGGATCCGAACAAATTCTCATGCGCTCTCAACCACTGTATCCAAGAGGTTAGTTGTATACCGTTTATTTCCACAATGGAACTAATTAGGAATATTACACTGTTAGCATTTTGTTCTCTTTGACATTTGTTTATTCTGCTTGTAACAGCTATTTTGCTAAATTTCTTTATGCAAAAGAAATAGAAAATGCATTATGCCAGTATAATGGGGATTAAACAGGAGAGGCAGATTAGGCAAAACCCAAAAAAAGGGGGGGAGGGAAGGGATATTTGTAAACCCTAGTCAAAGGCTGCCTTCGCTCAGGATTCTTCCAAAGATCTTGCCTTCCACTGCTCTTAACTGCAGCCAATTCTGTTAAAATTCCACAAGGGCATTTCAAGTTCAAATTAAGCACAAACGCTGCTCATCTACTCGATGTTCAGTGCAACATCCCGTTGTGCAATTGTACATATCAACTAGTTAAACCAGCATGCAGCCTGTTTTATGCAGCAATGAACAAGAATCCACATGGGTGAAGATCAAGTTTGCCAGCCCTCCTGCATCTGTCTGTCTGTCTGTCTGTCTGTCTGTCTGTCTGTCTGTCTATCTGTCTATCTGTCTATCTATCTATCTATCTATCTATCTATCTATCTATCTATCTATCTATCTATCTATCCAATCT